ATGGAGGCTGGGTAGCAAGGGCGGCATGATGATTTGCCTTTGTAAAGCCTTGTGTCGAGCGCGTACATCCTCTTCTTCTTGAAAAGATGTCTTTGGCGTTTTGAGTCGTTGCGTAACTTTAGAGGCCTCAACCTCAAGAAATTTCTTGCTGGAAAATGAAAAGCATCCTGGGCATCCTGCCGTCACTGTGGCTTTCTTGCATACGAGACACATCGGAGCCTTACAGTTCTTCACAGCAACACCCAAGGACTTTGAGTAGAATTCTCGTGCAGCTATGGCAGCTTCAAGGCGTCGCTTGGTTTCTTGCTGACGAGTCTTTGACGCTTCCGAGAGTTCAAGACCTCCATCCATTTCGTCGAACAGCTTGATACCAACATCTTGATCTTCCAGGTCAGAGTCATCGATGTCACCTTGCTTCAGGGCGATTTTATCCAGAGGAATCTTTGCAAAGCCTGCGAAGAAGAACACGGGTGAGATACAGCGACTGTCGTCATGCTTAGCCATAGCATATCCGTGGCATGATGGATGGAGATACTCTGCTTCAGCCGGTAGGTTCGTAGTCCTTTGAAGCCCCAAGCGCGATTGTAACTGGAAACGTGAAGCTTGAAATGGGGGACACAGCGCATGCGAATACGACGCAAAAACTGGTGAGCTGATAGTGAATTTCTGTGCTGCGTCATCGAAATAATACCCGGCAGCGGCAGGATGACAACGTTGCGGCTCGACAACATCACGCTCCAAACGTCGAAGCACAAGCTCTTCCTCGAGTCGCTCCTGCTGGTGCCAACTTGACCTTGATATCTTCTCCTCAGCGAACCGTTTTGCCTGGTCATATTGATCCTTGATGGCCTGCTTCCGACGCTGGGACTGCTCCTTCATGCGTAGTCGATCGCGTTCTTTCTTCTCCAGTGGTGTGAGCTTGCGCGGCTTCTTGATCGACTTCAATCGGAGTGGAAGAGCAGCTGCAACCGCCGACGGTGGTGTATTTTGCCGCGTATCATGTTGATCTGGTCTTACGAGGATGCTGTCAGTGCTTCTTGCAGAGGATCTCACCTGTTCCATCCTTCACAATATTAATAAAGGTGAAGACAGATTTGCATTGACAAGCATAAAGAGATAGCTAATTATAAATGCTGGATCCATGCTTGTAAAACAAGCATGGATCCCCTTACTGCCACACTTTAAAGCTGTTAGTCCTCCCAGGGCTCGATAATGAACTCGTCGTACACGTTGCCGTTCTTGTTGAGCACGAACTGGATCCGCATGTCTTCCGGGCTTGTGGCGATGCGAAGATATCCATAGTCGTTGACGTGGCGGAGACTCCACTTCCCGTACTTGTCAGAGAAGTCCTCAGTCCCGAGTGGATAACCAGCAGAGCCCACCACAATATGCACCGTGCCTTTGCCATCAGCAAAGCACTCTTTACGATACAATGGGCAGCTTCGCTCGTAAGCATGTTCATGGCCAACCTGCATGCAGAAATCAGTTCACTTTCCAGCAAGCATAAGTGGATCAGTGCAACGTACCATCATCAAATTAACACGGTGCTTGTAAATCAGGTCTTCAACTTCCTCCTGAAACTTGTAGGAAACCTTCATATCGGACTCGATGTTCATCTGGGTCGTATACTGAGAGACAGCACAACCATGATGAGAAGAAGAATACAACACAAAAACCCTTTCTGGTATCCTTATGACTAACCATCATGCGATGAGCTGTCAGCACCACCCACGGAGTGACGCTGCGATCCACTTGCTCCAAATCGTGCTGAAGCCATTCATATTGCTCGGATCCGCGGGTCCAGTTGTGCTCGGTCGACATTTGGATGACATGGACACCGCCGTAGTTGAACGAGTACCAGTAAATCCAGTTTCCTGTCTTGGGAGCTACGAAATTTTACAAATAAGTCAGTGCATTGCTGCATCTAAATACACAAAACAATAACGGCCTGCTTACCATGCCATCGATGGTGCATTGGCACTCCGCACTCCCCGGCCGAATCGATACCAAAGTTACCCCACGACGGGTTGAAGCTTCCCCCGTACGGTAGCATGCCACCACTCAGGTCATGCTTTCCACCCCTGTTGTAGTCGTATTCGTCTGCAACAACAAAGCAAACATTTACATGAGCACGCCTACCACGTTGAGTGCTGGTGTTGACTAGTACTTCGAAGTACTTACGATTTCCGATGCCCACCATGTATGGTCTGTTATGGACACACGAACAAAATAAACAATTAGCACTCATAATCTTCAACGTTGACGTCTAAATGCACGTACAATCTGGTCGCGTAGGGCTCGATCAAATGAAAGAACTGGTCCCAAATGTATCCAACCGATCGAGCGTAGCTATATATCCGGGATCACATAACGTTGACGTAAGTGTAATATAGGGCGTCATCACAGGTAAGGCCTGCAACAAAGCTGAGCAGTACCTGATGTCGCCGAAGTGCAGCAAGAAGGAATCGTATCCTCCTCCCATCACTTCCTCGTAAACTCTTCCAGCAGTCGACGCCGAGCCTGGCTCAACGTACGCGCCCATATCGGCATACGCAATAAAGTTTGCGTACTTAGTACTCTTTGGAGGCCGCGACTTGAAGCGTCGCACGTGACTCAGAGCATGTCCCTCGTGGCCGTATTGGTAGTAATAGTACGTGTCCGGCTTCAAGTCCGTCATGATAACCGTGTGCATGAACCCAGGATCCCGGAACGCTCGCTGTCCCAGAACATTCGCCGGCTCGTGGCATCTACAAGATGCAACATCGGAGTCAGT